TCCATCTTTCTTTTGTACAAAACCTATTTTCCACTCTGAAACTTTTATTTTCATTTAAATGATTTTTTTCCCCTCCTCATCTTCCAAGTTCTTTTAGGTGACACAGAAACTTCTTGGACTGTATACTCGTCAGAGATGTCTGCATGCATACGAGGGCTTCTTCACCTTTAGGGGGGTGATTTTTGCTGGCTCTTTGTGGACTCAGCCACTTTCAGAACCTGTCACTGCTCTCCTTGCTTCGTCCCTCCCCTTCCACACCCAGTACTAGGGGGACCCCAGTGACTTTGCAGCCCTTATGACTACTCTGGAGAACATGCATCTGTCTGCTTCTTTCACATGAAGGAACAGGAGGTAGAAAAGGATGGACATTATTTCTACACTCATGTTGGTGGCAGAAGGCTCTTGTTTATTTCTGCCTTTGCCATGTGAGTATTTCCTATAGGAAATGATGAGATTTACTTGTAGTATCCCAATAGAATTTGACATTTGATGAAACACACACTGCCCTTGTTTGTTTCTCTACCCATTTTCTGACCCTTTAGGCCACTCCTTTGTAAATTTCCTTGCAAGTTACTCTTAAATGTACCTTCTTACTATAGATGCTCTTCAGTCCTCTGATACAGTCTCATTCTCTTTTCATTCTTCTCTCTGCTTTGGCGTTCTTAAATACTCCTATGTTGTCACTTAGCATCTATGTGCGGATGGTTTAAATGTAGCACTTTGGCCCAAACCACTCAGCTCCAATCCTGTATACACCTCTGTCTCTTTAAAATTTCTTCCTTTGCAACTCAGTGGCATCTCAGCCTGGGCTGTACAATTTGTCCCCAAATTCCTTCCACCAGCATTCCCATTTCAGTGAGTGTGATGACTGTGTCCTCGGTTGCTTCCTGTAGAATTTTGGGTGTCATTCTTGACTGTTCCCTCTGACTCAGTACATTAATCTCAAAACCCTATCATTTATTCCCCATGAATATAACCTGAATTAATCTATTCCCCTTCATTCCCATCTCACCATCCTGCTAGACCGCCCTCATGTGTCCCCATGGCTGGTTTCCTTGGCCCCAGTTTTGTACCTTTCCTTGACTGGTAGCCACATAGTGGTTTCTCTAAAATAGAGTAATCATCTCTGTCTGCTGCTCACAGCCCTTTGAAGAGCTCAGCCCCCATGACCGACCTAGCTGCTCTGCCTCAACTATAAAACCAAACCTGCCATAACTGTGGGTTTCTATGCCAAACAGTACTTGTTTTATACAAGAAATTACTATTTCTTGAATTAATTGACATAATCTGCCTTTTAAAAAAGTATTATCAATATCTTATCCCCTAAAACTATTTCCAGCAGCTGTATGATAATAAGATTACAAAATCAAGAGTTGTAACCCAATAGGGTAGGTGTGATTGACAGCTGCTCTCTGCAACATTTATTTTCAGTTTCTGAGGGAGGTAACACCGGAAGTATGAATGCTTTCAAGGAAATCTCCTATTCATAAAGTAAAATAAAAAGCAAGTATTAATGAAATATATCAGATTTTTCTATGAAATGTTGTCAACCTAAAATTTATATATTTTGTATAAGTCTGATCAGGAAAGAGCTCCTTTAAGAGCGGACACTTTGAATATATGTATAAATGTATACATATACATTATATGTATAAATTATTTTCACATATTAATACTGGCATTCTGTTAATTTAAGTTCACATATTATTGTACATATTAAGTTTTCAAAAACCTTTAAATACATCAAGTATTTACAGCTAAGTGGACCTGGGAAGTTCAGCCTTTACATGCCGCAGCACATCTGTATTTTAGCTGTGGACTAACAGAGAGAGAGAGAAGCAGTAATACTCTTGGACTTTATTTACAAATTCTCAAATATCAATTGGTAGTGATACATTCTGGCTTAGAAAAGCATCCTACAGAATAGGCACTTCATGCATATTTTCTTGTTAGCATTTATCCATAGTCTAATTTAACATGCTAAATATCGAAGTTAAGTTTTAAGATGTAGAAACATGTTTATAATATTTATGCTTAGGTTTATAATTACTTTAGCTTTTTTAAAAAATATTTTATTTATTTATTCATGAGAGACACACACAGAGAGAGGCAGAGACACAGGCAGAGGGAGAAGCAGGCTCCATGCAGGGAGACTGATGTGGGACTCTATCCCGGGTCTTCAAGATCAGGCCCTGGGCTGAAGGCAGCACTAAACCGTTGAGCCACCTGGGCTGCCCTACGTTAGCTTTTAATGTATTGTTTCGTCTGTTTTCTTAAAGGATTTAAGATTCACTCAGTAGCACATATTCATTGAATGCAGATGTCGTGCAGGGCTGTGTCCTTGGCATTTGGCCTCATGCAGTGTAATTTGTGGGTGTGCATGTGTGTGCAACATGTATGTGCTGGGAGGAGAAATATAGACAGTGCACAAAAACCAGCAACCATGTACTGTCTCTTGTAAGAATATTTCCATCAAGATAGGATGAAATGCCAAAAGAAAATGTCAAGAAAACATAAAAATTTATACCTAATAACTACTTGTTTTTCTTTCTATTCTGACAATGCAGCACTGAAACTGGGTAAAAACCAGCTTACTGATTTTATAGATAGATGTATGGTGTAAAGAAGTAGGAAACCAACTTAAGGTGTTGAAAAAGAAATTTAGTAAATAAATATCTCTAGACAGGATATGAGCAAGCAGTTTTGGAAATGTATGTCTTTCTTTCAGCTCACAAGTGCATCTTGCCTCCCTGGTGGCGCTCCATCTCACACAACTAGCTAGTTCCAGCAACTAGCTCGTAAAATGCTTTTAAAAATAGATTTTTTTAAAAATGCTTTTTTTTTTTGTTTAAAGATTTTATGTATTTATTCATGAGAGACACAGAGAGAGAAAGAGAGGCAGAGACACAGGCAGAGGGAGAAGCAGGCTCCATGCAGGGAGCCTGACGTGGGACTCGATCCCAGGACTCCAGAATCATGCCCTGAGCTGACGGCGGCACTAAACTGCTGAGCCCCCCGGTTGCCCTAAAAAAATGTTAAAAAACAACAGGATGCTGGTGGGCAACTGCATCGTACCCCACCAATTTGAATTATTTTATGTTTAAAATTGAAGTAGTTAATTCAGTGACTAGGCCCTGGGGAGGAGCCAGAAACCAGACAGCAGTGATGCCTGAACCCAGAGAGGTCAGAACCTAAGACATGTATGGTTTTGAATGGAGGAAGGCCCTCCTTGGTCAGAGCATCGGGCAGGTGTCCTCATGACCACGAGAGCAGTCCCCTTCCATCATCAGTTATTTTACAGTAAGAACAGCCATGATCATTAGTTCCTCCTCCTCTTTTGGATACACTGCATTTAGAAGTGCCTTGGGCACATGATCTCACTTAAACAAATGTAAAACTATGCTACCATAATCCTCTCCACTGAAACGATGCTGATGCTGTGTAAACAACGGGATGGTGAGTTTGCCTCTGCGACTTGTAACTGAGGAGGCTTTCTCCAGGGACTGTCACCTTTCAGCGCAGCACCAGAGGGCTTTCACCCAAGCCAAGTTTCCTTACTGACCTTCTTGGGAACAGCAGAGCCTACTTGTGGGAGACAGAGGTGCATCCTAGGAGTGAAGAAGAGGAGGCACGAGAGCACCTGCGTCCTTAGGCACCTGCCAGGCTCCTTCCTTGCCCTCCAATCTGGCATGCCCACTTACAGGGCTGCCTGAGGGAACTGAACTCAAATTCACCTTGTCGTTTGCTTTGTGTGAGCACCTCAGGTTCTTTACTTCTCAGAGGTGTTCAGAGAATGTGTGATTCTTGTTTTATACTATTCCCTCAAAGATCTATTTAGAAAAAGTTCAGATATGATGGGTTTGCCTTGGTGGAATGGCTGACCCAGGCACATTCACCTAGCAGTTGTATCTGTGAACGTGAAAGCATCTCCAACACCACATCCTTGGGTGGTGCCACCTTCTTACAAAAATTCACAGGGAAACATTTTCTTTAAGCTCCTGCTAGGACAAATTGTTCTTGCTGAGCTTCTGGCTTATTGTCCAATGGGCTCTGAGTTTTATTATTTCCCTTTATGCAATGAGCAAGGTGAAGCTCGGGGACGCCTGTGGTTCTACAGTACTAACTACATGGGAACATTTTTTAGACTATTTTATACTACCACAGTTTCATTTCACTATTCTCTCCTTATATTAACACTTCCCTAATCTTCTTTTCACTTATTTCACGCCATCTTATTTATACCCCCCCCCCCCATTTATTAAGCCAGCCTCAAAGTTCACCATTTATTCCAGTATCTTTACATGGTGGTGAGAGATGTAGTGAATTTGTGGTGTGAATTCATAGGAGAGGAGTGTTTGCACCTTCCACATGGGTGTTCATCCCAGAGCAGGGTGCTCTGGCGTGGGGACCGGGTCCTCTCCTGCCTGCCTGCCTCTGGAGCTGCTGGCTGCTCTGAGCTCTGGCTCCCCCATCACTCCCCAGAGAGATCTCAGGGGTCATGGAGGAGAATTAGTGTGCTGACCAGTAACCACTTCAACTTGAGTATCACCGACGAATATCTCTGAGTTCCTTGACTGTGTCCTATTATAGGTTTTGTCTTGGTCACTTCCCTGCTGTCCCTAAGTGCTGTTCTGGTGCTGTACTGGGGAGAGGACTTCTTCCCCATACTAACTCCCTTCTCTGTGGAAACCAAAGCAAAACCAGAAAATCCCTATTATTAGTGTGTCATTCAGAGACTCTCCCATCCAGACCAGGCTGTCTGGTGAGCGCTGCTGAAATACATGAGAATAAAAGCAAAGTGCTTGCGCTTGGGTTCCTGTGTCTGAGGGGTGTGGTAGTAATGTGCAGACCACTGCTGAGACAGCACGGAGCATCCTGATTTGTCTCCTTCTCCTCTTTTACCAAAAGATAAAATTCGTCTCTTAAGTTTCAGACTCGGTTTTACTGTTAAGTGGAGGTGAAAAACTGCTGCTCTCACAACTTTTCTGTCTTCATCACAGGAGCTTACACATTTGTTCCGTGGCTGCTCAGCTTTAAAAGGGGAAGAGCTCTGGAGGAGAAAGAAAATAAAATACTTGTAAAAGAAGCCGGTTACTTTTTCATATACAGTCAGGTAGGTTCCCCGCGCACCTGCTGCCAACCGCCCAGCCTCCATCCCATGCTCACTTCTGACCAGCTTCTTTGGTTTGTTTCTCAGGTTTTATACACCGATAACACCTTTGCCATGGGACACCTAATACAGAGGAAAAAAGTCCATGTCTTTGGGGATGAACTGAGCCTGGTGACTTTGTTCCGATGTATTCAAAATATGCCTGAAACACTACCCAATAATTCCTGTTATTCAGCTGGTAATTAACGGTTCTGTATCAATAGACAGGAAGATGTTCCTTGATATACTGCATGGTTTTTATTCTCTGGAATGATAAGCTAGTTCATATGCATTGAAATGGATAAAATTGTGACCGATAGTTTTATCACTCTTCTGTAATTGAGAAAGGGCAGGCAACATGGATAGCCATTCTAAACTGCATTTGCTTCAGTATATAATACTGCATAAGAACAGCGATGAGGATAACAGGATGAATGATTACCATGTGCCAGGCATCCTTGTCTTGCACCTTACCTGGGCTCCTTCATATGATCCTCCCTTTTTAAGGGAGGTGGAATCTGAGGCACAGAGAGGTAGTACACATTGTCCTAGGTGGCACAGCTTCTAATTTCCAGAACTTGGATTAAACTAACTCGTCCGACCCCAGAGAATGAGCCTCTAGGTTTGCTTTTTTTTTTTTTTTTTTTTTTCCACGTGTTGCTGAAGAAATGCCCTTGACTGAACTGAGGGTCTGGTCAAGTTGCTCAGTGGCTTTCTCTCACTCTCCTACAGGTGACGTCTGGTGCACGTGGACACCAGACAGCTGATTTGGGATGGGGACATGGAGGAGCAAGGCTTCTTCAGATCAGGGGCAGTGAAAATGTAGAGAGGAAAAGAGAAAGGCAGGGCTTTGTTCAGTCAGGTCTTTGGGGCTATAATTGCCAACATACTCTTCATTTTATTTTGGGGGTAAATTTATCAAAGCTGGTATGGGGGAGGAATATTTGCCTTTTATACATTTGTTCCTTTCTGGTCATTTGACAAATCCCTTGAGAACCCGAGGAATGTCTTCAGTTCAGACAGTTACTGTCACACAGGCTGGGAGCCTGGCCGCCGAGTCTGAGGCCCTGAGATGTGAAGGTGCCTGCTAACAAGTACATAGTAACTCAATCAGGAAGGAAGGAAAATAGTTCAAAAAGTGGAGACAGTTGGCACTATGGACCCACAGCCATAAACAGCTGTAAGGGGATGATGAGGAAGTGTGTTGAACTAAAACTCCCTAATTTTCATAAAGAGATGTTCCCCTGTAGCCAGTGATGATGACCAGTATCCTGGCGTTGCAGATCCAAACCGGTACCTCAGGAGCTCCCTGGGGCCATGCCTGGTACCGTGTTCAGATGCAGCAGCCCTCAGAGCTTCCCCAGGAGCTCTTGGGGTGGTGTCTGGCTGTTGGCCCCTCCCTGCTCACACTCTAAGCCACATTCCCTAGGTGCCTTGCCTTTTAAGAATAATTAACCAAACCTTAAAGTTGCGTCTCAGTGCCAGCAGCTTCACGTTACGTATGAGAACTATTCTCCAGAGCATTTCAGGTGTGCAATTTTAATCTGTTCTAGGACAACTTTGTTCAAAACCATTAAAAACTATATATTAATATATAAGAGAATGCAGTACTTCCACCTGGAAAAAATGTAAATGGTCCATTTGAGGAGCCCAGTGTAACATCAAGGCCCGCTTTTACACAAAGCTGAGTCTTACTATTTCATTAACAAAGCGAGTGTGTGGTGAAGTTACAAATCAAAGTTATACCTGATTTCTATAGCCTGGAAGAATTGAAATAGCCAATAGCCCTGTGTTGCAATTTTAAACCGAATCTACTTTAAAATCGTTGGTTCCCTCTGACTTTGTTTTGAGAGTTAGTATTACCTAATGCTGAGTGATCAATAGCCTTTGTCAAAATATTACATTATATTCAGTCTTTATAACAACTGACTTATTCAACAAATAAATTCCAGTCTATTTCTTTTTTACTATTTCATGTAGTCATCAAATGCTTTGCTAATCCTCAAAAGTGTACATGTCACCCTCCACAATACCTGAAACTGTTCTTTTGTTTCTTGTCTTAATCCATTACAAAAAAAACCCAAGATCCTTGTTTTTTATTTTTAATTATACACACATTTTATATCCACATTTAAGTGTATTTATGAGTGTCTGTGCAGTATATACATACTACATGGTGTGAGTACTTTTTTGTATTTCTATTTTATATTTTTATTTAGCACCATCAATTTTTTGTATTTCTGTTTGTGTTCGTATTTAACGTTATTTTTTTGACATTATTATAAACAATTTTCTTTGTCATTAAATGAGGCAAAACCACTTTTAACCGTACAATACCCCATCGAGGAATGTGCATGACATACTTAACTTTTTTTCTTCAACTAAGACATGGCTTTCTGTTCAGAGTCTCCATTTTACAGATAGTAGGTGATAAATACACTTATACCCGTTGTAATTCTTTGTGCTCATTTGCTTTAGCTCTTTTTTGTCTTTAGGCTGATGGAGTAGTAACTGGTTTAGAAGTCTGCTGGTGTCATTTGAAGTGTGAATGCCCATGTTCACATTTTTCCAAAATAACATTGTTTTACTTAATGCCCCCGCCCCTGGCCTCCCACGTTGTACAATCACTTAAAGTCCCTGTAAATCACTGTTTTCCAGGCATCGCAAAGCTGGAAGAAGGAGATGAGCTCCAGCTTGCAATACCGCGTGAGGACGCTAAAATATCACAAGACGGGGACGGCACGTTTTTTGGTGCATTGAAGCTTCTGTGACCTACTTACACCTCGTTTGTGGCTGTATCCCTTCTTTTCTCTGTACCTCTAAGGAGAAGACTCTTAACTGGAAACACCAAAAGGAAGAAAAACAGTAGTTACCGTAGCCTTCTCTGTGAGCTCTTTGTTTTGATTCGCTGAAACTAGACCAAAACAGGAAATTTAACAGACAACCACAGCCAAAGGGTGTCATGTGAATTATGAGAAATAGGGCCCATTTAAGGAAAGATAGAAGTAGGCTTCTCCCTATAATGCCATGTTAAACAATTTAGTCCTAGCTTCTTGACCTGGAGGAAGCACAGGCTGCAAAAGAGCAAGAATCATTTCTTCCAAAACGGCATTTCATCACTGCTGCACACCAACTGCCGGCGTCCACAGGACTTTAGGACATGTGGGAACTCTCAGGTCCATCCTCTCTCTTCGTGTGCAATCTGCCAGTCTCTTTCAGTTAATATTGTAGAAAGTAAGAAAAACAAACAAATCTTGCACTTAACACATGAAAAAAGTAATTAAAAGCTTACATTTAAATATATTAAGCAGTTGGACTTCAAATTCAGGTACTATTTAAATTCGTCTGGTTTACTTCAAGTGTGCAGTTTTTACCTGTAATATTATGTATCACCTGATGGAGCACCAGATATTTTTCATAGGAGGGAGGTAATTCTCTCGTGTATCTGCACCTGATGTATTTTTTCGTAGCTGATTTCATTCACTTCAGAAATTTTACTGTGGGGTAATTCCAATTATTACGCATACGAGCATTAGGTGGGAAAAAAAAGCCCAGCTATAATTGTTCTTATGTAAAAATAAAATCTCCCAAGAGAAGTTAATGAATACATTTATAACAATGGAATATATTTGCCCTTTATTTCCTATTCTTCTGTTTTGAACTGCTGCTATTATCACAGCCTTTACAACATACTCCTGTGATTAGCTTTACAGAAGTGGAGGTTTCATTAAAGTTCTTGGCTTCCTTAAGGGTGAGCTGAGCTGTGTGCTCAGGATGCGCCAGGGACATCACCCTCATTTCAGTCTAATAGACAATCATATTTGCAAATGCTGTCATAACTGTCCTTAGAACATCAGTTTCCCTATTCTGCTTGTCTTTTTTTGTTGTTGTTAAATGTCATCGGTTTAAGGAGTTTACTCCATTAAACAATTTCCTTCTCTAGTTGAAGCAGTAGATGGAAAACAATAGACCTGGCTCTACACTCATTTTCTCCAGTCTACATTAAAATGTTTTTAAGAATATGCTTTTCACAACAGAACAAAAAACGATTTGTACTTTGTGTCTAAGATTAAACTTTGTTTAAAACTCTGATTAGTACAATTTTGGCTTTTTTGGTTAAAATCAAATATATTTTGCAACTTACTTTGTTTTACAATATTATAATCTGAATGCAGGACGTAGGTGGAGCAGGAGTCCTGATCCGGGGGGTGAGTCATTTTCCTAGTGTTGCTGCTAAGTTGAATCGCCAAATAAAAAACTTCAATTTCTTCTGCCTGGCTTTTTGATTGGAGTTTGGTTAACACCAACTCATCTTTTAGCTTCTCTTCATGTAACTAAATGCCATTTTAAAAATTCAGGGCAGAGGTACCCAGCTGGCACAGCTGGTTGAGTGTCCGACTCTTGGTTTCTGCTCAGGTCATGATCTTGGGGGCATGAGATGGAGCCCCGGGACAGGCTCATTGCTCAGCATGGAGCCTGCTTGAGATTCTCTATCTCTCTCCCTCTGCCCCATCTCCCCCACACTCTCTTTCTCTCCTCTTCCCTCTCTCTCTCTAAAATAAGTAAATCTTTTTAAAAAAATAATAGATAAATAAATTAAAATTCAGTGCATACCTGTAAAACTTTATAAAGTAATATATGTTAGGGTATGAAACAAAGCATTTGAAATTATGAATATTTTACATATTTCAGAAAGAATTTGTTCACATTGCTTTTATGGATAGATAGATGATAGATGATAGATAGATAGATAGATAGATAGATAGATAGATAGATAGAAAATAAGTAATTCTTGGAGCACATGGGTAAGGAAGGTAGTGCTACAGATGAACAGGCTTGCATACCAGCCACCGTAGTCTACAGCTACCCTGTGCTTCAATGGCTTAGCGCAGTTATCAGCAGATGCTGCATTCCGTTGCATGAAATATTCTTAACTCTTACTTTGTTTTCAGCTTAAACCAGGATGAAACATGTGAATCCCATCCTCTTGAGTGTAAGCTGTGGGTGGAGTCAGACTCGTTCAATAGGAGTTTATTTAGCAATGAGGAAACAGAATGAAGATGAGGTAGTGCAGGGGTGGGGGGTGCGGGGTCCCCATGGCAGCACTGGTGGTCCAGCTTCCCTCTTCCCTATCTTTCCCCCAATTTAAGAAAAATGATGCTGTACTGGGATTTTGTAGAACAGAGCATTTCTAAGGTTGGGTGTATGAGCCCAGACCTGAGGCTCTGGTCTTACATGTGAACGCAGGTACGGGGCTGACAACTGACAGCTTGAGGGTGTGGGCTTGCTCGCCCGTGTGGGGGCAGAAGAGCCAGAGAGGGGATCTTCCTGGCCTGGGTGATTATGGGTGCAGCAGTGTATTGATAGGGGAACTTAATGAATCCTGTTGTAATTTGAGTTACAAATCAGGCTTGCCTGTCCCGGGAGAGAGGTGGTGACCCGTGAACGGGGCATCAAGGCCGCCAGCTTAATGTGTTTGCTTTGGCTTCCGTGTCACTTTATGGTTTTTGACTTGGTTGCTAATATAAAAAATCTAGATTTGTGACATGAAAACAGGACATTTAAACTTTCTATGAATATTCCCCGAAAATATTTGAGGAAACCTATGGACACCTTTCTGCTGGATTGATACCTAGAAGCCGAACTATTATGACATTGAATGTTCATACATTCAGCTTCAGTAAATACTGCCAGAAAGATATCTGAGGGGTAAAGAGTTAACAGAAAGTGGCACAGAAGCAGGCTGTAGAGGCAGCAGTGCTGTGGGCTAGTTTTATCCAGGCAGGTGCTGGGCTGCAGACCCATGCGACTCTCTGCCCACCTGTCACCTGGTGGCCCTGCATGAGGAGGCCAGTGATTATCTTTTTTTTTTTTTTAAGATTTTATTTTTTTCTTCATGAGAGACAGAGAGGGGGGCGGGCAGAGACACAGGCAGAGGGAGCAGCAGGCTCCATGCAGGGAGCCCGATGTGGGACTTGATCCTGGGTCTCCAGGATCCCGCCCTGGGCCGAAGGCGGTGCTAAACCGCTGAGCCACCCAGGGCTGCCCAAGGCTAGTGATTATCAAATGCACTTTGCTCCCGATGATCTGTGGGCACATTCACTTTCATACATCAGTTCTGTAACTTTGTATACATTGGATTAACTTTTACAAACAAATCACCGTTAAAAGGCAGTGGCCCAAGATCCCTGGTCATGCTGATACCAGGGCAGCTTCTTCTTTGGGGTTCCTCATCTTTTGTGAGGTAATGCACGGGAGTGAGGGGCCCATGCAGGGTCAGTGATACCATACTCTGGGGACATCCCTGTCCAGCCGTGGCCTGACCAGCTTTCAGGCTTGCTTTGAGGTCCTCACATTCACCACTGTCCTTATTTAAGTCAACTAAGTCCTGCGTTGTTTAAAAATGAATGCAATGAAATTATGTTCGCCATCACTTAAAAATAAAGGCAATAAGATAAAATTATAGAAGAATATTAATAATGCAGCATGAGTATGGAATTCAAAAGAAGTAAAGAGACATGCAGTGTTTGGTTTTATTTTAGCAAAAGATCTGAAAGAACCTGGTTTTGTTTGGTCTTAAGAGATCTTGAATAAACCAAAAATTTTAAAAGAAGAAAGAATGCAGCCCCTCAGGGTTGGAAACACCACTCTTGCCTGTCTTCAGGTCCCAAAAGGACAACTGCCTCTGCCTGATGGTGCCAATGGAAACAGAAATCCTGCCCCAGAGGCTAAGCATTTCCAAGATGTAGGGACAAGAGTGTCCGTGTGGGAGCCAAGGCTGCCCTAAATTTAACCTGATAAGTGTGAAAGGACCTGGATCCAGGGGATCAGGTGGGAGTGGCAAGAAAACAGAAAGGGGGTGGGTAGTGGTGATGAGAAAGAAAATGTCCACAGGGAAGAGCCTCCTGGGCCCTGGGGGCGCCCTACATGCCCAGCCTGCATGTAGGCTCAGCAGACTCAGGAGGTAGATGAGGGGGACCTGCCCACAGCCCTCAGCATCGCCCCCCACATGGCTCCCTCCAAACCTTGGGAAACAGCTGATCTTTGTAAGGGGCCTCGCCAGGGAGTGAGCGTCCCGAGGGGTGCACAGTGACCCCCTGGAGTAGGAGCCACACTCGGGGATGAGCAGGATGCTGTGGGTGAAGAGTCACGTGAGAATGAAAACAGCCACACATTGGTTTGCATTTCAGAGAAGTCCACTGCATCATGCAGGGCCATCTGGCTGCCTTGGAAGTTAAGGCAAGTGATTGTTTTTTAAAGTGTAAACCTCAGAGTTGATTGGACTGCTCAGTTAGGGTCCAAAACTCACAGCAAAAATGAACAAGATGTTTCTAAACAGCATCACCTGCTGAGGACTGCTCTCCGCCACGTGGCAGGCCGTCCTCCAGCCTCGGAGCAAACTCCCCAAGAGAAGACAGCCTGCTTCGCTGGGGCCGTCCCGTCTGTGTCCGTGTGTCCCACGCTCCCGGGGACCTGTCTCACCATGGGTCCCAGAGAGGAGGCTGGCAAGCCTGGCAAGCCTGGCACACTGTCTCATGCTCCCACATGAGCTCAGGTGCAGCCGCTGGGCGAGTCTGGGAAGTTGCAGAGATTTCCCTTTGTGCAACTTAACACTAACGGGAATCCTGGCTGCCGGCCTGTTTGTCCTGAGGAGTGGATCCCACAGCTTCTCAGGAAAGTAGAGCCCTCACCTCCGCATACGTGCCTTTCCCAACATGACACCTGACTGTGAAACATATAGAAACTCCCAAGTAATGAGCATAAAGATAGCAGAAATTTCTATACGAGAGGGAAAAATAAAAAAAGAAAGACACCGCCCCTCCTGCCAAAATCCAAAAAATAAAAAATAAAAAGGAGAGGAAGAGGAAGGAAGAAACATTTTCATTACTTAAAGAGCTAGAGGATAAAATTGGAATCAGTGGATAAAACGTACATAATTTTCTTCTTTTCAAAAAAATGTATTAAGGTACACATTACATGCTGTAAAATTTACTCATATAAAGTGCAAAATGCAATGTTTTTTTAAAAAATTAATTTGAAGAGCTGTGCAGAAAGTTACAGAATTTAGTTGAAAACATTAGGAACTTGAGGGGCAACTGGGTGGCTCAGTGGTTGAGCATCTGCCTTTGGTTCAGGGTGTGATCCTGGAGTCCCGGGATTGAGTCCCGCATCGGGCTCCCTGCAGGGAGCCTGCTTCTCCCTCTTCCTGTGTCTCTGCCTCTCTCTGTGTGTCTCATGAATAAATAGAATCTTCTAAAAAACAAAAACAAAAATATTAGGAACTCGAGATTATATTGCCAGGAAGGGAAAGAAGGGTCTCCGAGCAACAACCACCATTACCACCTTTTAAGGAAAATATGCGAAGCACATTTTTAAAATTTTAAAGTAGATTTAGATTTACAAAAGGCTACAAAAGGGAGTACAGAAAGTTCTGGATATGCCTCACCCAGGTTCCCCTACATGTTTCTTGTGTTTCTTATTCGTCTACGTTTCTCACATCATCACACCTGGGAAAGGACACCCATACATTATGATTAGCTGAACTCCATGCTTGACCAGAATCTCACTGGCTTTCCCACCGCTATCTTTTTTCTTCCTTGAATCCTATCCAGGGCATGTCCAGCCCCTTCACCTCCCCTGCTCTGAGCTTCTGACTTTCCTTGGTTTCGTGGCCTCTGCAGTTTTGAGGAGTACTGGGCAGCTGTTCTGCAGGATGTCGCTCAGTCTGGGTTTGCCTGATATTCTCACGGTTGGAACGGAGTTGATGTGCCTTTTGAGGGAAGAACACCATAGAGTTGGAGAACCCTTCACATCCACCCTATCAAATCAGAGATACACGATCACCTGGCCAGGTAGTGTTTTCCAGGTTCCCAAAGGACTAGTTTTAAATTCACAATTTCTCTAGTCATGAAACTGTCAACTATAGATGCTACGGTTGTTTGGAAGCCCGCAAAATGCTGTTTTGGGGCAGTCCTGCCTTTGCCTGGCTGAGATGTTATGGCCAAGTGTCACCACTAGAGGGAAGCACGAGAACAAGGAACGGAAACCACCTGCGTTCTACTCCAGGGCATTAAAGAAATCCTAGGATTGATAGAACCGGGACTGGAAGATGGTTCACAGACAAACCAGACCCTGTTTCCTCAAATCACATTCAACTTTTAATGAAAAGTTGCGGTATCACTATTTCTACTCCGTTCCTGCGTGATGGACATTGATTCCTGTCCAACTGTATGAAATGGTTGGCAAACCTGGGAAATAGGTTTCTGCTCG